ACCGAGCGGTCTGATTCATGCCCATGTTGAATGGCTTCCGCGGTCCGGACTGTGCCGTCTAGACGTATGCGAGCGGTTTGAGGGTCGGTGTTGGAGATGTCCTAATAAGACTTTAAGTTGTTTTCATCAATACCAACCAAATTTGCACTTATTTTAAGATGGAGGGAGTATAAGCTTCTAACTGAGAAAGGGATCTAACAAACTCTGCTCCGCAACAAGTATCTAGGATCAAAGGAAGTATCTCGAGCTTACTGAAAACATAGGTCTTCATACTTAAGTGCATGTTACCATCCCTACCACTATGGAGGTCGGAGAGGTACATCGGTGGCGACAGAGGTGGAGGACATCGAAGGGGGTGGCAGTGTTCCTATGTTGAGCCTAGCCTGCCAGCAGTTTCAAGCATGTCATGGCATGCCTATGTGCCTGATGATCACTGAGCAAAGTAAAAACCCCTATGTACAATGGTTCACGCTATGCCCTCCCAAGTAATGAGCAAAGTAGGTGTCTTGGAATACAATGTTTTTCCTGGGTCATGTTGTATCACTCGTATGTTTCTGGTGTATTTCGCACAATGTTGTTAATATAATTGTATTTTCTTATGTATTTTGTATATATTCACTTTGCATACTACACCAACTTTCATATTTAATTTTAATGTTCTATGCCATTATATTTTCCTTATTGAATACTCGTCGGTTAAACTGATTGACCGCGAAATGCGGATCGCCACTCGGCGGCGACTGACTCTGGCACCTTGTTGGTCGCCGGCGTCGCCGGGCAACTTAGGCTCCCGGTTTTCCTGCCTAGGTTCTTCCGACGCGGAGGAGCCGACGCATACGGGTGACGCCTCCCCCCTTCCTGCAGTTCGCCGGAGGAAAACTGACGAGGAGTTGGCGGATGAGTTCTGGGCGGATATCGGCTACCCTACTCCGGCGTCTAGGATTTGGGAGCGACCCTCAGCTCGTCGAGCAGGTGAGGTTTCTTCTATTTCCAGGTCGGTCGAGGACAGAGATTCTGTGCCGGTCTCGGTGGAGGGCGTAGCAGCCACCTCTTCGAAAGTGGCGGCGACGGCTGCAGCTCCCTCCCGCGGTGTCTCCGGAGTCCCCGTCCGGTCGAGGCCTCTGATCAAGCCTTGGATCGGCCCTGTTCCGCCGCCTCGCCTATCACCACCAAGAACGCTGGGTGATCTTCTGCCGCGAGCATGTCTCGCCGATGGAGGACTCCCGCCGGTGATCCGTGGGCCTTCGTCGTCTTCGGGCCATTCTGGACGGGCCGTGGACGTCGCTGTTGTTCCAGATCATGCACCGGCGGCTGCATCAGGCATGCAGGCGTATCCTGTGCGTCCACTACGGATGGTTCATCTTGGACGTTGGCTTGGTCATATGTGGACCAGGAAAACGCAGGGGGCGAACCCTAACTTCAATCGCTCTTTCGCTGCCGTCGTCGCCTCTCCAACGATGACGCGCGGCGACCCTTCCGTGCCGCCGGCCATCTCCACCGATCGCCAACACGTGCAGCCTGCAACGTCTTCCCAGCCGGTTTCTTCGCCGACGGGCGGCGCGCCGGGCTTCGCTCCGGGCGTCTATCAACCGATGCAGGCGGTGCAGACGCATGTAGCACCGGGTGGTTTCGTGCCGGCGCAGCAGCCTCAGGCACAACAACTGCCTCTGCATCAGTCTCTGGCGTATCAGCCGCAATTTCCGCAGTCGTTCTTCACTGCCCAGGGTCAGTATATGCCGCACCAGCCATTTCTTCTTCAACCAACGGGGGGCTATGCGCAACAGCAACAGTTTTAGTCCATGCAACACTCTGGTATTGCCGGGATGCAGGTGTCGGCCAGCTTCAATACCAACATGCCACAAGCTCCATCTGCTGCCGGCGTTCATGCGGCCGCACGCCCTCGGAAGCCAAAGGGCGGCAAGGGTGATCGACACAAACCTGCTGTACCACCTACCGCTAATCCATCGGCGGCTCCTATGATGCTGCCTTTGATGCAGGTGCCCGCTTCATCGTCTACGATGGTAGTGGGTCATGGACAAAACACCCCTTTGCAGTCTAGTTTGTTGCAACAGCAGCCTATAAATCAAAATTCAGGGGCAGCTGAGGTGATAGTTAATCCTAAGAAGGTATGGTGCTCGAAGTGCCAGGCTGCAGGACACACATCTGATGACTGCGAGACACAACAGTACTGTTTTATTTGTAACAAATATAATCACCCGATGACCATGCGACGCTGTCCTGCTCTCAAGATGCCGAAACCGGTGGCGATGTTATGTGGATATGGACCTGAAAATATGGCTTTCTTCCAGATGCCTGATAATGTTTGCAGGGAGGATCTTGCACCACAGGATTCACTGACGGCGTTGGTATCTATTTCTGGTGGCTCTATCACTCCCAGTATCGTGGAGGCAGAGGTTGCTAAGATTGCTCAGTACCAGTAGCAGTGGATGTGGGAGGCCATTCCGCATGGCAACGACGCTTTTCTCATGTCCTTTCCGAGTGAGGAGGTGTTACAGAGGGTGACTGGCTTTGCAGTTTTCATCAAATCTCACAATGTCAATATCGAGTTCAAGCCTTGGAATACGGAGAGGATACCACACCGTTTCGAGCTGATTCCTATCTGGGTTCAT